CCCCCTAGAAGGTCAACAAGGTCATCAAGGGAGGTTTTGGAGATCACATCCCCCTAATAGTGGGATGACCTGATGATGACAGGAGGAGGAGATGAGATGGGATGGAATGATGAGATCCATGAGAGCCCAAATACTAATTCCCACATATATATATTGAAGTAATTATACTTTTCCTGGGGGGACAGGGGGTTGACTAATAGGGGGGGGTTCAGCCAAGCAAAATTTTTATTAGAGGGTGGTGACTGTGGAAATTAGTAGTTCAAATTAGTTTATTATTGGGGCCTGAACCCTGGGTAGACTAATAGGGGGGGTTGGTTAATACGATGTTGACATTACCCTTTTGAGGGCTTTGGATGCATTGAACAAATACTCAGGGTGGTATGCTGAACAGTGGTGTTTGGCTTGCCCTGTACGTACATGTTGCAGGTTGTTTGCTTGCCCACATAAAACATATTGAGTGCATATCCTGCACTGGAAAGTTACTGTGATTTCGACGGACTGGAAAAGCTTGCGGTTAAGACTTTGAGACCTCCGCAGGTTTGTGGACGGCATTGTTCGTCATGATGCTTTTGGCTCATATTTTGCCGGTAAAAGACCAATGTTTGTGGCATGGTGCTGGACAATATCTGTTGTCATGTCACCTTTTGTGTCAACATGACAAACTATTTAAAGACATGACCAACTAGGTCGACCACTGCATGGGAGAGCCAGCATGCGCCGCTTGTTCCTAGCTTCGTTCTTGGGAAACAGATGGGTACGGTGAGAACGCACAACGTGACGACATTCCGCACAAAACCGGCCGAACAATGCCGGACACTTGCAGCCACGGACACTTCTGCCCCCGGTTTTTTGCCTTGGGGAAATGGTTTGAGCATACTTTGCAATATTTGGAGACGCTTTTCCACCCATTTGGCTTGTGAAGGGTGTTTATATCTGTGGCATTTGAAACTGCCACTCATTTCTGGGCGCCGGTGCCTGAATAAGTTATTTTTGTTTTTTCAAATCTGTCGACAACTTCCCTCGGGGAGTTCGTCATGCGAACAAGGTGCCGAAGATGTCTGTCTTCTCCATGAGTCTCCATCATTTGCAGAGCTGAACATCACATGGTGAGGCGAAGAAGGAGGGGTTACCATCAGGGTTCTTGCGGCCGAACGTTTCATTGCAACATGCATGGCGACATGGCTAAGCATGACCGACCATGGCCATGTGCTTTTGGGTACTAAAGAATTCCTTTTCTTGGCCAAGATCACCTTCTTGAATACGTATGGGCATCATTTGGGGTTTCCAGGTTGGTATTGCTGCGCAAATCCGTTCTTACAGGTGCCGCGCTGCGCGTATCCCGCTCTGCTCTGCTACGAGAAAGCACGGCTCACAGCAGGTCTTCCAGGGCGACGCCGTGTTCGCCGGCGACGTTTGAGGGCTCCGTTTGGCCCGCCCCGGCCGCTTTCGGTTCGATGGGACGGCCGGGTGGCCAGGGCAGTCCAACCACCGGATATGGGCCAGCCCTAGGCCTTAGGGTAAGATCTCCAGTCAAATCAGGTCCTTGCCTGCCCTGTATAGGGCAGGTTTCAAAGGTTCTGCCAAGGTTCTGCGGTTACGTACCAAAACCACGTCTCCCGCGTCGAGCGAGGTCTCAGCATCCGCAAGGCCTCGAGCACCATGGCCTCACTGGAGGGATCTCACCTTGGATAGATCGGACGTCACGGGTTCCCAGCGTGAGCTGAACGGTCGAATCCATGGGATGTGGATGTGCTTCTTATGGATGTGAGACCCCGCAACCAATGGGCCTAGGCGGCCTAGGTCCTACGGTATATCGGTATATAAGGTTTATGCTCCTTCTTCCAGCAGGTCGAAGTGGAAGGTCTCCCTTATTTTGTTACACACATTAATTATAGAATCATGTAGTACGATGAATAAACACCTCCAAACATGGATGATATCATCTGGATATCTGAAAACACCTGATTCATGTGTCGACTCGGCTGTCGCCTCTAGTCATCTCTAGTCACGTGAACCGTGTCCAAAAGTGAAACGTGTTGTATCGCCGCCAAAAGGTCGACACCTCAAAAAGAAGGAGCAGCCTCTAGCAGGGGGGGTCGAAGTTCCTGAGAGTTCCTTCTAGCACACCGTAAAGTAGCAAGTCCATGAAAGCACATGTGTAGTAGGGAGACCCCTGGCCCTCAATAGACTGGCTCTTCTTCCAGGAGGTCCCCTAAAAGGTCTCCCTCAAAAGAAAACTAGATTGAGAGCAGCTGATCTTCCAGTCTACCCGGGCCGACACAACACCTCAGCACCTTCGGTGCGGGCGGATTTTATCCTGGATTGAGAGTAGATGGCACAAGTTACCCGCAAGTTTGATTCCATCTGTCTGACGACATCTTGATCTCACGTGTTGACATCGAACCTCTCCAAACACACTGTGATACGCACCACATCACTTCACTCATTCCCGGGTGTCATCCACTGCCACCCAACCTCAGCTTCGGTACGACTGGGCCCCAGGAAGCATAGGCGCCGTCCACAAAACCCAAACGCTCCATGTATGCCATAGTCTGCCAGGCCATGCCGATCAGTTGGGGTGGTGCCAGGGGGGTCAGGTCTCATGTGTCGTGTATGGGAACAACATCGTCTTCATGCTCCTCATCCGCTTCGGTCTCCACCCACTCACTCGGACTCCCCACGAGTGCTGCTCCCGCGGTGGGACATGGGGCGCGCCAAGGCCAAGGCCGAAAGGGAGATGGAGAGAGATGGGCGGTTTTCTTCCTGTCCTTGGGGGGGGTGGCGGGGTGATGTGAAAGGAAACCACACCAATCCGAATGAAGAGCTTCGAAGTTCGACAAGAGGGGTGAGAATAGCATGTCTTCGTTAACAGTGTTCCTTCCTCAGGGTGAGAATGACAACATCCAATCGAACTGCGGGATCTTCCTGCACTGTACTGTCCAAAACAGCTATACTGACTGTGCTCTTGAAAGGCTTTCGGGCAGTCTCGCTCAGATTCTCAACAGCTAGTTCACCTATACTGTGTCCCTTGAGAGGCTTTGCCGGCTTTCCATTGCCTTTTTGGAAGTCGGGTTAGCGAAAACTTCACAAGCTCGCACCTGTATACAGTATACATGTCTGACAAAGACGAGGTTAGGATCCTCAAGAAATGCAGCGGACCATGTGGGCCTCTGCGCATTGAGATCATCGCCCGGGCGATGTAAGCGGACGGTCGGCGCGAAGAAAAATACCTTGTCCCAGGTTCAAGAACCGGTGGAGGCCTCCAACAACCAGAAAAACCATGTCACTGCCTGTAAGAACTCTCTCCACTTCTTCTTGTGCTGATGGAACATGAACTCCACATCCAGCGAGACAAAACATGTTGTTTTCTACGAACTACGGGTTTTAGCTTTGAAACACCTTCCGGCGATGTGCCACTTCTTAGCCATCAAAGGAGCGCATGTTGGGATGCTTGGGATGGGGGACCCAGCTACCAAGACCTCCAAGCAGCACATCCCAGCACACCGATGCCAGAAACCACCCGGCACCCGGCTGGTCGTTCGGATCACCGGGTGGTCTAGTTCGGTCCAAAGTGGTTCCACACCACTTTGGTGGTTCCGACTTCGAACGACATCTCACTTTCTTTGAGTGCTGCGGTTTTCAGTTTCGAATATGACTGTTTCTCTCTCTTCTCTCTCTATGGTTCGAACCTTTAAGAGTACAAAACAAAGGAAACAATCCCAGGGATGTCCAGGGGTCACGTTCGACCGGGGTGGTGTTTAGTCCCATCCAGGGGCTGTGGATCATGAGCACCCCGACTTCCTCCAATAAACACTCCTTTTGTGACTCATTTGCCACAGAACCCGTGGAGCTTTAAACCAAAAGACTCGGGATGCCATAGGTCCGCCGAGTAGCGGCGAGGCGTTCCCCATTCTCCATTCTCCCAACACATCAAGACGGTGGGTATTGATCGCTTTGGTGCCTACCTTGCAACATCTTAGCAACATCTTATAAGATATCCCCATGGCCAGGACATGGATTGAAAACGATCATGTTTGATACTATGTTACTATTACTATGTGTGATCTATTGGAGTTTCACCGACTAAGGAACTATCAACACATCCGGAGGGACCAAAAGGAGGTAGAGCTTGCGAGTGCATGTATATAATATTTGCCTCCCTCTTCAATAACACCATTCTTTTTCAAAATCACATCCGTGTTGTTCTTTGCGTTTCTTTTCAGGCACGCATGCGACGCATGCACCCCCGGTGTCCGGTGTCGGTCTCCTCGTTCTTTTGTTCGTGACAGTCCGGGCTCGACGAGAGCCGTCCAAGGTCGATGGTCATGTAGGCCGACTCGGCCGATGGAAAGGGCAAGCACCTCCGTCAGGCCTGGGGTAAACGGGTTTACCTCTGAAGAGGCCTGGGGCGTTCACATGACATTCATCCAGAGTCTACATTGTCTACATGACCTCGAACACCCCAGGAGTCTCGTAAGACACCCCAACCCTATTTTCGCAGGCCTCCGCGACGAAGGTAGGAAGTCTTCCTCTAAATTGCTCTCTTTGGAACAAGGTCGGAAGTCTTCCCCCGTTCGAGATCCTGTGGAAGGTTCGGTTCAGAGGCCCTCCAGTCCCAGCCAGGCCTAGGGGATCTCCCTATTAAGATAGACACAAAGAACCCAAGGGGTGTCCAATAAGAGCTCCTTATGCTCCTTAGAGGTTATGAGGTGTCCATTAACCACCCCAAACCGGAGGCCCTGGCAGGAGTCACAAAGGGGTGCCCTTAGTCCCATCCAGTGAGTGGATAATGGCCACCAAGAAACACCCCTTTGTGACTCCTGACTCTTTTCACTTGGCTGGCTCCGTGGTGAAGCTTCGTAGGCTCAGCCTAGGAGTACAGTAGTCTGGTAGCAGCACCACCCAAATGGTGCTTGTTGGATGGTAAACAAATATAACAAATGAATACACATGATAACAACTAATAGCATGGGGGGATCCGCCAAAAATAACAAACATTGAAACAAACAAACAAAAAAAACAGAACGCTCACTCACCCAGCGCGGAAGGGCCTTGGGTGGTACTGGTGGTCTACACATTTCACCCATCTGTTTCGGGCTAAAACGGCTGCCGCTGCGGGACACCCCGACCGCCCGTCCTAGCTACCGCCTGGTCGAAGGCGGTGTCGCGCGCCTGCAGGGACAAAGCGAACATTAAGGGAACAAATGGAAACCAATAATACTAGTAGAGGAGCCCCTCGTAGCGTCCTTGCTCCTAGTAGCGATGCCAGGAGCCCCTAGTAGCTTCTTGTTCCTAGTAGATCTAGCAGTCAGGGCAGGAGCCCCTAGTAGCATCCTTAATCACTTGTTTTGAGCTGAGGCCAACAAACCGGCGATGAAGCATCTATTTTCAGGTGGGTGTACCCAGATCTCTCTGAGCGTTACTGGGGTCTATCAAGAGTCAAACCCCTGGTCAACAAAGAAGGACACAGTTTACAGGCCACACAAAGACTGGGGTATATGAGCCCCAGTAGGCCTAGCCCTGAAATAACATACACCTACACTCGACTGTAGTATTTGGACACATGAACTTTCGAAAAAAAATATCAGAATCCGTGGATCTATCTACCATGATCCAGCGAGCATGTCAAACACTTGTGGATCAAAGCAGCCAACGAAACGAGCGTGAACGAGAGTGAAAGAACGCTTTGTTTTTTCCACCTTTCAATCTTCTAGCAGTACAACGACGACCCAGTTTAGCTGTGGCACGTTTACTACTTAAATTGCATCCTGTTCCATCTGCATATTTACTTGCCCGGACGAAAATACATGTGGATACATTCCTACCCAAACCACTCGTGAACCAAGTGGGGAAGTCGAGTGAAACGGAAAGAGAAAGGATCGTGAAAAAGGAAGCGCACTTGCACTAAGGCAGATTCATTCGCACGCTTGAAACCAAATTTGCTCTAGGGTATTAAAGGCTGAACACATATGTTTGGTTACTTACGCCGAATGATCCTGCTCAAACAATTTTAGTGAATCCATCCAGACCCTTTCGGAGAGATCACAGGTCGGGCCTTCACGAAGATGGAGTAACCATCCGCGCTGGCATGGGCTTGTCGCTGACAAACCTGAAACATGCCGACACATTCGGATAATGCCACATTCGGGGGGTTCAACTGAATCTTCATGTTTTGAACTTTACAAGGATTGTGTCAGATGCAGGTTCACAAATAAAAGGTTCAAGTAAAATAACAAATCCGACAGGAGAACACTTCAAACTGATGGATGTATGTCATCTAACCTTTAGATTTCACCCTGGCCATCTCCACCAAAGGGAGGGGGGGTGGTTTCATACATTTTTGCGAATGTATGCAAAGGGGGGGACAGGTGTGGAAAAAAACAAAGTTCGAACACGGGGGGTTGAACATAAGAGAACGTGTGTTTCAATACAATATATACATGTGTTTTTCCGTTGCTGTTTCTGGAAACGCTGTTTTCGTGATTTGTGTGGAAGGGAGGGGGTGGCCCAAGACCTGACTGTATGCACGGAGGGGGCGCACTCACCTAATTATGCACATCTACATGTTTGGTGCCTTTGCTGTTTGCTGCCATTGTATGAACAAAATCTCACAAAATCCTTCGAGCCGGCTGAAAGGCTTTAGAGGCTGTGGATATCTGCGGATTGTAGAACCCGTTGGTTGAAACAATTATAGGACCGGATAACCCCACATGCTAACAACTTCACCAGTTGGGTGAGTGAGTTGGGTGAGTGAGTTGGGTGAGTGAGTTGGATGAGTGAGTTGAGTGAGTGAGTTGGGTGAGTGAGTTGAGCAAGTGAGTTGAGTGAGTGAGTGAGTTGGGTGGGTGAGTTGGGTGAGTGAGTTGGATGAGTGAGTTGAGTGAGTGAGTTGGGTGAGTGAGTTGAGTGAGTGAGTTGAGCTGGCCACCTTGTTGGCAAAGGGCAACCAGTTATAGTGATGGATGCTGATGCATTGGAGACAAGGCGCAGCCTTGAAAGCCTAAGAAGGAAGATCCTCAACCTTGGTATCCTCTGGAAGGAGGCTCTGAGTCTTGGACTTCTCCTCCAACTTCTGGATCAACCCTTCGAGCTCGTACAAATCTTGTTGCACGGTATCAGCTGCGGCATGCAAGCGGCAACTTTCCTGCTTCAACTCGGAGAGTTGAACGCGCTCCAAGAACCCTGCACTCAACTCTACCTCACTCATCTTGTACTCCTTCAACCTTGATACCTCAACAAGGTTCAAGGGCTCACCCTTGTACAGGAACTCGTTCAAAGTCGCCCCTGCTACCCTTGGTGGATCCTGGACCGATTCTTGGGCTGGTCCTTCAACCACCGTGGCGGGTCTCGAACACTTCGAACTGTGCGCCAATCCACGTAACTCGCGTGCTCCTCTCGCCCTTCTCCAAGGAGATCATGACACCCATAGCCTTCATCGTGTATAGCAGCATTGCCAACACTTTACACCTTTCCTCTGGTCTGCCCCTCATCGCGATCAGCAGGTCATCGACGTAGATCTGCAGAACCGCCTCGTCGGGTTTCACCATGCTCTGAAGGAGTCTGCCCAATGCTGCGCTCAGTCGACCCATCAGCAACGGGGCTGCCTTATAAACCCGAACAGCATGGCCACCCACACCAAAGGCCTGACCCTCTCGGACGTCGGGGGCCATGCAGTGTATGGTCACAACACCGATTTGCTGCAGCTAGAGTTCTTTTTTTTCCGATCGATTGCCCTCCCTGGCGAGTGCCGGTGAGTGTCACGGCAGGGAAAAGTGTTGGTGACCAAGAGTGCTCGCAGCAACCAGAGAAGAAGTGCTGGGCCCACTGATGATGTTGGAAGTTTCATTGGGCCCAGTGGCTGGCAAGCCTGTTACTGTGCCCATCGCCAACCTCCAAAGCTACTTGGCAGCTTCTTTTGCTCAACTCCTCCAGCAATCATTGAGAGCCCATCCAAACTCAGGAATACTTTGTGAAACGGCCATTGGTTCATAAGCATTTGTTTGCATAAAACGGCCATTGGTTCATAGGCTCTTGTTTGCGCAAGACGGCCATTGGTTCATAGGCATTCAACTGCATCAGGATGGGCCTGAGACGTCTACCCGAGCTACGTCCCCGACTCAACGCATGCAAACACACGAGGATCTGTGCTTGATCAGACCCGGTATTGGACACATCTTGTCCGGATGCAACACGTATTTCGAGTGACGGGCGCGCAAGGTCCGGGAGACGGAGTGATTAACATTGTTGCATTGCTCTTGAGTTCATATACACCCGATTCCTGACCTGAGTCTTTTGAACGAAGTTCTTTGCTGAAAATATGCAATTTCTTCTCCACATTGACGTGTGGGTTTTTGTTTTTAGTGCTGTATGCGCTCCTCCTCCTTCCTTCCCTCCTTCCTCCCCCCGCTCAACAACCACCAACCAACATCCACCAACAACATCAAGTCACTCACACAACCAACAACATCCACCAACAAAACGTCCACCAACAACATCAACTAACTCATTCAACTCACTCACTCGAGCCACTCTCACTCAACTCACTTATTCAACTCACTACTCATTCAACTCACTCACTCAACTCACTCGCGCAACTCACTCACTCAACTCACTCACTCAACTCACTTGCTCAGCGAGCTCGTGTTGCAAACAACATTGCATAGGAACATCTGCGCCTGTCGCGAAATCTGCATTTCGAGGTTCACAAAACGCTGTGCCTGCCACGAAATCTGCACTTCGAGGTTCACAAAATGCTACGCCTGCCACGCGCAATTTACACTTCGAGGTTCACAAAGTGTTGCGCCTGCCACGAAATCTGCACTTCGAGGTTCACAAAATGCTACGCCTGCCATGAAGTCTGCACTTCGAGGTTCACAAAATGCTGCGCCTGCCTCGAAATCTGCACTTCAAGGTCCACAAAGTATATTGCACCTGCCACGAAATCTGCAAACTATACTCACATGTCCAAAAGTCACGATTCACTGCACCTGTCACGAAATCAGAGCGCCTCACCATGTCCAAAGTGCTGCACCTTCCACGAAATCTGCATTTTGAAGTAAAACCGCTCCGATCGCTTTTGAACATGGACACATCATTCAGTGGTATTGAAAACATTTACTGGTATTGAGCCACCTTGCCCTGCTGGCTTAGGTCCTAGGTGCCGTAGGCTCAGCCACATCATCAGGCTGAATCATAGAATATGAGATAATCTGGTTGGCTTGGCCAGCAGTTTTTCAGATAGTCGATTGTCCGGTTGCCGTGCCCTTCCTCCTTGATTTGGTCTGGGTTGAGTCCTCTTCCTCGCTCTCGTTGGCGCTTCCGCCTGTATCTTCCGAGGGCTGTAACAACTTCCCAGCTGAATGCCAGCTGAAAGCGCTTTTCAGTTGGGAAAGCTTCCATCGGACATCGCAAGCAAATGTGCGCACCTTCAGCTGCTCTTTGTGAGAGCCACCTCTTGTTCTACCGACCCCGCAAATCGCTTTTGAAGCTTCTGTCTTGTCAGCTGGTGATTCTAATTCTGCAGACAAAGCTCTCCAAAACACGAGGTTCCCTTGCGCCTGCCACGAAAAGTGACCATCATGTCAAAAAATGTGCGCTGCGCCACAACGAGAGCGCAGCGCGACAAGCACCCGGCGCGGCCAAGCAGACTTTGCGAGCCTGCGCAGTCGAAATACACTTCGAGGATTTCGAGAGGCATGATCGTGAATAGCAGCGATTTAGCCGGACGCGGATGCACAACACCTCGAATCTAACACCGGCGCTTAACACCTACCATAAGAACCCCTAGTGTGTCCACACTGTTTGGGGAAAAACGATGCTTGTGCGGGCAACCACCCAAGCAACCAACCAACCAACGGTGCAAGCAAGCAGGCAAGCAAGCAAGCAAGCCAGCCAGCCAGCGAGCGAGCGGGCAAGCCACTAACCAACCAACGAACCAACCATCCAACCAACCAAGCAAGCAAGCAAGCAACCAAACCAACAAACCAACACACCAACAAACCAAGCAAGCAACCAACCAACCAACCAAGCAACCCAGCCACCGACCGACCAATCTGTTGGTGCAGGGGAACCTGATTTTGACCCAAAGTCACAGATTGTTCAACACAAGGACTCACCATAAAAGACTCTTGCGGCACTTGCGAAACCCCAAACGCCAAGCAGCAAAAGCATTGAGCAGGGCCAGGGCCACACCAGTGATCAGGACCAAACCAGCATAGCGCTGTGCCTGGGAGCCGCAAGAGGGACATGCAAAATGGACACAACATCTATGAATCCCGATACCAACCAAAAGATGTTGATTATCTTGCGCATTTAGTCTGAGGTTGCATATGCACGAACTCAGTACAGACCCGGACTAAACGTCCAATGACCTACAGTACATCGTCTCAGGAATTCTGAGACACCGAATCCTCCACCCCTTTTGAAGCCTGAAAATGCCCCCCTCCCAAAAACCGCTCTTGGTTGCCGTCCCAACAAAGGGGGGAACATGCCCAAGCACGACCGAATTGACTGGCAGACTGACATATTTGCACATAGAATGGGGTGGTGTGAAATGAGAAGTCTTTCTGGCCCAAACACGACCAACAGATAGATTGGGTGGTTGTTTCGGGCTCTTTCTGGCACTTCAACAGATTCCAGTCCCACTCCTTTTAGATCCACGTGGTCCGCGGTGGTTGGGCCATTTTCGTCGCAAAAACCGCGAGAGTCCGGCGCGGAAATCAAACCGATCCGATCGGGCACCGCCGTGCCTCAAGGACGCTCAGGCTGTACTCGGGCGAGAAGAAGGCCAAACATCTCTCCTGCATGCTTCGTGTGGAGGTTCTGGAAGATCCACTCAAATATAGCTTGTATAAGCAGTGGTTCCAGTTCGACTAGACTAAAAGCAAAGACCAAACGAAACCCTGTTTTCCTAAAGGTAACTACATAGGATCCACTGAAAACTATTTTTTGTCAGATCCACCCAAATGTGAAGCTTACATCATATCTCTACATGCATGTTGCGAGATTGCGTCTAGTGTCTACATTCCCCCTTTCGATAATTTGGAGATCAACAGCCCGGCCCAGGGAGCACTCATTGAGGCGGCTTATGTTTTTCTTTTTGTCCGCTAGTTAGTTGAAGGAGACAAGTCCAGGTCCAAACCAAACGAGGAACCTGGACTGGTCTCTGCACAGCTCACAAGGATCGTTGGGAAGATTTGGAACAAGGGGACGGTCTGCTTAAAATTGGCAAAGCAACTCGTGAGCCCCAAGCTTGGTCGCCAGCCGTCTTTCGTGAAGACACCCAAACACTCCATCTATGGAATAGATTGTATAGATTGACCTGTGAAACCATCCCAACGTAGGTCAATATGCTGCACAATGGACAATGTTCCTACCTGTCAATATTATGCATGTATATGCATGTATAGGTATTTATAGGTGTATAGTCCTGTTATGTGTCGGTCAGTGGATGAGGAGGTATATCAGGACCACACGAACCGCATATAAAACGACCCGCGCGAACCCGACCCGCAACCCGAAGAATTTTTTTGGTTAGATGTCATGGTGTCAACTCGTTGTATCCACCCAGCCGATCTGTAGAAGCTTGTTGCAATTGCAGGTTTATTTTCCAGCTGATCTGGCAAGTAATCTGATGATAACCTGCTAAACCACATTTGCCCATGACTCACCCCATACGTCTTGTTGACGCTACATCCATGACATTCCGATCCTGGTTGCTCCTCTTGCCGGTCATTGTGTGACCTTTCTACGTGACTCTATAGTAGTCTTATCGCAAACCGAACTCCCAAAACTCACCGTCAAGACGTCACCAAAGAAACATTCAAATCCGCCTGTTTTGACCTACCTCTTCTCAATCCATCCCAGACAATCCATGGGACTCAAAATAATTCCAGCCCCATGGATTGTTAGGGTTTCATATATTTTGTGTTTCTCTTGCGTCACCACATCACAATTCACAGCCTCACCAAAGGTTGCACAGTATGATGCTGAAAACGTGATTTCTTCAGCGTCCCAACTACCTACGATAAGTTAAATAAATAACTCGGGAACACTTCCTTATCACAAACAATCTGGACGCCAGCGATCACGCATTGAACCATAAACCAGGAGCTGGGTACTGCACGCTTGAGATGGCTTGCAAAAAAGCAATGGTGCTAGTGAATCTGCTTCCCGTTAATCCTTTGATTTTTTGAAGTGCTTGAGGGTTGTTTACTTGGGCATGTCAGAGAAAGTGCAACCACCGCTGCTCTCATTGCAAAGCTTCCTTGGGGTCTTTGGAGGTTTGGGGAGATTTCCACCATGAGTCTCCTCCCGAAAAACTCCTGCTTCATCACCAAAGGACCACAAATCTGTTTACCGGTACCCGCCATGTTCAACTATATACATGATACGATGTTTCTCAGAATTCGCAGGTTGTTGGCCTTCAATCGTCGGATCTCTTGGAAGGGTTTTAATGTTCTTGGTTTCAAGGGAAGTTTCTCAATCACATGGGTCCTTCATTAAACCTTGGATGACATGATGTATTTATTCATGTATACTTCATATACTTATTCCATGTTCATTGCTTCAGAAACCTATGACAAATGGTTTTATGATAGTTTAGGTGCACACTGCGTTCCAATAGCTCCTTTGACCCCCCTAGCCTGGAAGTTTCATTTGGGAAATCGGCCGCCAAACAAAAACAACGGTGCACTCTGACGGCCTCTCGCCACGCAGAAGGCCCACGCCGCAAGCACGGCAGGGTGGGCCTCGGCGGCGCACGGCGGCTTCGGCCACTATCTCCAAGCGGCCAAACGACATGGAAACACATGAATACATACTAACAGTTACTACTATATTTATATATATATATATGCATGGGTTTCAGTGAAGGTAGGTTCTGGTATGATTGCGTTCTGCGAGTTGGGTCATGTTCTACTGCCGTCAGTAACGTTTGGAGGTCAGCGAGCAGCTTGGATGACAATTTTTGGGTCAGTTTTGGCGTGGAAGTAGATTGGAGAGCGGGGGGGCGCTGGGATTGAGTGTCTGGAGCTGTCCATGGAGCCATGGAGGTAAAGACAGATTCGGAGCGGCCACGAGAAGAAAGATGGTTGTATACTGTAAAGACTGGTTTGTACTGCCGTCAGAAAGCGATGGAATTAGATGGGATTGAGGGAGCCTTGGGATTGAGTTTCTGGAGCTATGGAGCTATGGAGGTAGGATGGCCGGAGCCTTGGGATGGAGCTAGAGACGGATCCGGGCGGCCATCATGAGAAGAAAGATGGCTGTAAAGACTTCTGAGGGCACGTGTGGAACACAGCTGCTGATCTTGGCCGCCCGCAACTGGCCACTTCCAAATCAATGGCATTCGGTCCGGCTCCATCTCCAAACTTCCGGCTCCTTGGACTTCAACCCAATCGTCGTTCCTTCATGACCTTCGGCACCCCGTGCACAGAGCCAGGAGGCTTTCACCACCTGCACCACTGGAAACTTGCTTGCAGGAGCCGCGTCCAAAGCATCCAGCAAAGCCCCGGCAGTCTTTGTAGAGGACCCCCAAAATGCTCCTCAATGACACCTCCGGCGTCACCGAGGGTTATTTGAGAAGGCGGCGCAAGAATGAGACACCTTTGTTATTGTTGACCATGCGAAAATAATACTCTTATTGTCTGGATCGTCCAAAACTGTTCTTAGGTGGGCACATCATCACTTCATGTCTTGCCAGCCCAAACCCAGGCCTTCTTTAACGCGATGCTCAGCCATGCACCCGTGCCTCTACTCATGATAATCTATCCTCTCAAAGATTTCCTCATCGAAATACAGGTCACTTCAGAATGCGATGGCCAGCCATATAGCCTAATACAGTCCGTGGTCCCCGGCTGAAGGGTGAAACCCTGTAAAACACGAGGTCTTAGAACACCACGCGCAAAACACTAGAAAATTACAAGGGCATCAATTGCGAGGCGGTCCCTCCGGGGGGGTGTGCCCGTTAGTTACCTTCGCTAACCACCAAAAAAGGCCTCCGGCAAGGACACGGGTTGCGGCCCCTGGGGCCCAAGATGGCCCGACATAGGCCCTACATGGGCCCAAGGTGGGCCAACACAGGCCCTAGATGGCCTAACAGGGCCTAACATAAACTTGGCTCAACATCGCCCCAAGACTGCCCCACATAGCCCAAAGATGGGCCCGGCCTGACCACAAGACCACAACCAGAACCACTGCAACAAGAAGAACCACAATAACAACAACCATGAGCCATCCTATACATATATGTCTATCTGTGTGTGTGTCTGATATCCGTCCCCCTCAATCCGGCCACGGGCCCACCGTGGCCCGAGCTGGCTGAAGGGGCTCCACCCCCTGCCGCCGACCTACTAGGCGGAGGCAACCTACGACCGTCGTGTTTTACAGTGTTTTTTGCACGCGACGTCTAAAAACATCGTTTTTTTACAGTGTCATGCCGCACCGGCGTGCATAACCTGCATCGTGCGGTGGGCCCCTCAACCACGACCGCAACCACAACAACCACAACCATCTGCATCAACAACAACAACAACCATCTGCAACCACCCACCAGTGGTGGGCCCCTGGCCGGCTGTCGGGCGTCAGCCCTTAAATTCGGCGACGCCGTTCCAATGACGATAGCAAGCTAGCTTTGCTATACGGAGACGTGCCCGACGCCGCCGACTTCTTTTCGAGCATCACCAGGGCTCAGGTGGATTCGTCAAAAAACATCAAAAACATAGGGAAAATGATCAAACATGGCAACCGATGAAAAAGTAGCTTCCAAACCTCTTAATTGAAAATGGATACAGGCTTGGAGGAGAACTTTGGGTGGACCATCATTAGCATCAGCAGAGTCTCGGCAAGAAAGATGCAAATTCTTTGGTGCACGACTAGGCAGAAAACACTGTAAATTAGAGTGCTTTTGCAACATGTATGTAGCTTATGAAAAACGCTGTTCAACGCTGCTCGTATTCTGGTGATGCCAATGGTGCTCGACACAACTGCTACCTCAAAACTTCCTCTCCTCTTAGCATACTTTCTTCTCTAGCGATAAAGCTTTACAGTAAAATTGTTTAAATCATTTTCCCTATGTTTCGGCCGTTTTTTGAAGAACATACATACGTGGCGGTGATGATCAAAATGTCGGTTTGCGGCAGACATTTCTAGCACCACCTGGGCTTATATGGCTTCTTCCAATAACATCAGGACTTTGTAGTGAAAGACGCTGAAAAAGACCGTATCTTTGTGCATTTTCTAGCCTAAACGCAGATAGCTTTAGGCCAGAAAGTCCTCCAAACTATTCAAAAATCAAGTTTTCAACGCTTTCCACTCCAAAGCCCTGATATTTGAAGAAGCCCTGCGCGCGTGCGCGAGCGCTCTCGTGTGCGTGAGTGAGTGCGTGAGAGCGCGTGCACGAGTGCGTGTGCGCAAGTGCGTGTGCGTTCGTGTGCGTGCGGGTGCATGTGCATACGTGTGTGTCTGAAGCTGCGGTTGCCTGGCTTTTCCATCAGACCCTGGTGCGCACACCTGTGTGGGAGTGTGCAGGCGTAAGAAGCTGCGCTAATCGTTGCATTTTGCTGTGCAAGGAGCCTCCGGAGACGCGCAGTCCCCCCGTTCGGGCGTCGCCGGTGGGCAAAGCCTGTCAGATATTTTGGGACAAGCTTTCAACCTATTATATACTATAATCTACTGCAGCGTTACATATGGGGGTTGCTACCGTTTGAGCAGTTGGCGACACAACGTGAATATAACATGGGGGATGTTAATAGCATTTAATAGCGTTGGCCTCCAAACTTAATAGCGATGGCCTCCACACTTAATAGCGATGGCCTCCACACTTAATAGCGATGGCCTCCAAACTTAATAGCGATGGCCTCCACACTTCATAGCGAGACGCTGTTGAGTTTCTCAATGCAAGACTTCTGCTTTGCAGCACTTTCGGCGTCAGGTATAGGCTTGCGCTCCGTTGGCTTCTCTTGTGCCCCTTGGTCCACCCTCGGGTGTTGGTATGTCTGTCTGGCACATCGGCACGTTTCGCTAGGATGCCAACCACCCCATCCTCAATGGCGAGTGGTTTCAGGTTCTTCTTCTCTATGCACTTCTCTGTGGTTTCAACGGATGTGTGGCCAGCGATCTGTGCCAAGAGTGTCATTGGCATGCCCTTGTCCACTAATCCGTGGTGACACAGGTGAGTCAATCGTGACCTGTGGAAGGAATGACCTGACAGCCGCTTTGAATATCTTTGTCCCTCTGGTGTCTTTGCCAGCGCGGCTTTCATCCGCTTCACCTCGCAAGCTGTGTGAGTCCACGGCGGTCGGCCTCAGAGGCGGACCGCCGGTTGCGTAACCCTTCATTTCAGTTTTCTGAGGTCGCAACCATTTCCCATCTTTGCCACCACTTGTGTCCAGCACACTGCTTCTTGTCAAGCATCTCCCACCAGATTAAGGATGAGTTCCGTTCGTTCGTGCCGCGGTCGAACGACCGTGCGTTCGTTTCGACCGTTTCGACCGACCAACATGATGTTTGGAGCAAAGCTTGCCGACCTTCCACCGACAGTTCCCGGAACTCTGGACATAGATACCATGATATTTCAACTTTGGAGAGACTCTCTTCTTTTTCGTGCTTCGGAACATCGTCATCGTTGTTTCGAAGACGCTGGTGTCGTCACCACTTTTGAACCGCTGGGACTCCACAACGCCCTACGGCGCGCCCACCGCGCAGACACTGTGCCCAGCGGCGCAGGGCGCCCACCAATCTCTGGCAGCACCAGTAAGATGTAGCAGAAGCCACCGACGAAGCCTCCGACAAGCGGTTCGCCAGGGAAAGAAAGTGTGACATTTCTCGGGACACGCATAGCCTGGCTCGATCTATATATATAGCTCCTGTTGGCTCCTTGGATCTCTGGAAGAGTCCATTTGGGCGCCATGACATCTTTTTTGGGTGGGGCATGCCCGTAACATCCCGTAACACTGCAGGGCAGGGATCAACCCCTTAACACCGCCATCTTGACGCTCGGTTCCGACCTGTTTCCCATGCTTGCGGGCATGGGATTCCGGCCATGTAGAGACTTTCAATACACCCAAACGCTCCATGGGACTGCCATATATGCCGCTAAACCACCCCAACTGATCGGCAGTCCTATGGCAGTCCCATGGAGTGTCTGGGACATGAAACACATATTCAGGAGGCACAAAGCTCGGGGTGGTGTTGCTCGTCCTATCCAGGGGCCGTGGAGTAGCTGGGCACCTCGACTTCCTCGATCCTTTGAGCACCCCCTAGTAGCACCCCGACATGGAATTGCTGGAAGACTTTCTGACAGCTCCAAAGGTGCATCAGTGGGATGCTCAGAAACATTAGGAATCAAACTGAGTCCAACGACGTTGTTTTGGACCAAGTTCACCTGCCCCAAAACGATCAAGGCAGCGCTGGCCCTGTCTGTGTCTCAGAGTAGCCATCCAAGTCTCCGACCCCAAACCATACTAGAACGCCAAAAACAAATTGAACAAGTAAAACATATATAGTCAATTACACACATGTGTCCATACTTGATTTGTTTCATATGTTTCTCCATCTCTTATATCTTAAAAAAAGACAAAATATAAAGAAAACACATCTGTTGCCTCACCAATTCGACCCCAAGGACACTTCCGCAAATGATTATTCCTCACTGCCGTCATCACCTGCACAAAGGCCTCTGAAAACCAGTTGAGCCGAAAGCCGGTGCTGACACTCACCACGCCGTCGACCGATGGGTCTTTGCCACCCACCCACCACCATCGGACGAGGCCCCCGAAGAACCAATCAGCGCATCCGGGGCTGCAGTAACCATCCCAAGTTGATGCTTGTTGTCTCAACTGTCGAACAAAGTCCCAAGGACAACGACGAAAGCGGCCTATTTCAATACCTGCCTCGTTTGCGCAAGAAGCACATGCTTCAACCTCCGCTCCACCGCTCTCGCTCGCTCTCCGACACCACCCTGACCGACACCGACACGCGACATTGCCTGCTAGGTGGGACACATTGCCGATGGTTCCATAGGGGCTGCTACACCTGCGCTGTGTTGGCGGAGTGTCCCGCGGAAAAGTCCCCGGGCGCGACGACGTTCGCAGCGTGTTTCTGTTCCGAAGCGCGCGAAACGGAGCGGGGAAACGGGGCGATTTCGAGTGCCTGCTTGGCTGAAGCATGAGGTGCGGAGTAGGATTTAAAGAAGTCGTGAGGTGTCTCCTTTTTGGCCACCCCATCATAAGGCCGCACTCCTTGGAACTTGGAACTTGGAACTGCCTGATGGATGATTTTGAGCGGCTCGAGCTGTGAGACGGGCGATGTGAAAGGTGCGGGCTGAAAACAACAGATCTGTTCTCGCCAGGCGATGTGAAAGGTGCGGCTTTTTCACGCGTGTTCTTTGTAACATGAACCTATTTGACATACTGTTCGCAAAATGAAGTGAGTGATCTTCTAGCAACCGCCAATTAAGCACAACAAGGAATAAGGAAAAACATGTTGTTCCCTTGCCCAAACTCCAGAGGTTAAGGGTTGTCAACTGACTGGGTAGGTTATTTGTCTTCAACACTACCACTGGTGATGCTGCCTTTGTTCATCCTTTTTCCATCTGTCGGGTTTGGCGGGCTTGTTGGGTCACCTCAGGGGTTTGGTTCCTTCCACATGGTCAGTGTGGGGAATGACATCCCAGGGCCCCACAATCCCAAACAAATAGGTTGACATGTCTGAAAACACATCCATGCTCCTTGGTGGTGGTGGTGGTTAGTTGCCTCACACATTTCAACGGATGGTCAGTGGCTTCAATCATCCCAAAGGTCTAACATCATGTGGACTCTTGATTCATATACCTCCCCACTGTCCCCACCTCCCCATTTCATGTTGAGTCCTTCAACCCGCAAAAATGCCCACAAACCCTCCGAATCTCCCTCCCACCCTCTCAGAATGTCGATGCCCATGTGGATGGCGGCATATAAGCCGCGCACCTCGCGCGCGACAGCAACAAAAATGACGTTGAGACGCAACGTCGACTGCCATGACAGGCATAATACCGGGTCCAACGTCGACTCATCGACTCATCGACGGGCTCCCCCCACCCAAGATCGATGACTAGAGAGGTCCACCCAACGTTGGCTGCGCATCAGACCCACTTGGACGTGCGGAGCACCTCATGAACTGTGCGGACGTGAATCAACTATACGGATGTGTGCTTGTACTGTGCCAAGTAAAGCACCAGGTTCTTCATGGTATACGTTCTCTTTTGAATTTCTTGGACGTACCTCGTACCCCGTACCCCGGCTGGTGGGCGCCCGGCACGTGGTCGGTCCAAGCACGGTTCAGTTGGTCGACAGTGAGTCGAACTGATAGCAACGAAGCTCCTTTCAGATGACTCAACCCAGGACCCAGCAATTTGACAATTCCTTCTTTGGGGTTTTCTGCCAAAGAGAAGTGTGTGTTTGGTTTGGGAGTCGCCCAGTCAAGCGGGAAGAGTGAAAGGATGAAAGATATGAATGGTTGCAATGGTTGCAATGGTTGCATGAAAATATATGAACATGCATGAATCTTCATCTTCCTCAATTGGATTCATGTGTTGAAGACTGTCTGTCCAGGACGCCTGGCCTCATGAGATTGGACTTGGAGCCGTGGCCGGTACTTGGAGCACCCCGGTGCCCGCTGATGATGGATGGATTCTTCCACCCAATGGGGACAAGGCGATGGACCAATGCCCTGGGTTGGATCGGCCTCCGTGGTGCTTCCGGTCGTTCTGGGGTGCGACCGGCACCCGATGGACTTGGTGACTTGCTGGGAGGCCGAAAGATCCGGGTCGCGCGGACCGCGCGGGTCGAACGAACAGGACCCCCGTGGCACAAGAAGCACCAAGAGGACAAGGAAAGGACCCCGCATGCCGGTGAAAGGAAAGAAGCTTCTGCTCAAACTGCCAGTTCCTGGCTGTCAGGGGGGCAGCTTTCCAAAGCAAACGAACCTGGAACCGTGCACTTGCTCGAGAAACCAGCTGGCTCTCCTGAATTTCCTGTTGCAGGTCTTCGGACGCCGGCGAGCAGCGGTTAGGAGCTAGCGGACCTATAGCGACGAAACCAAGGCTCTGATGCTCTGCGATGCTATAGCAGGCTATAGCATTCCGTATTCCTAGATCTTCCAACCATATGCAAACAAATTATGCCTTGTGGGATCCTTTTGGCTGGTTTCTTTGTACATCGATGAAACGGCTGACATGTTGCACAGTTGGAAGATCTATAGGTATAGCATGGTCCAGCTGCATCATCCGTCCTCCAATCCGGTGGGAACCGTTCGTGCTGGTCACCGGTGTCAGCTGGCATGCAGATGCCATCGCTTCCGCTTGAAAAGAACCACCTGAACCAGAAGGGCGGCTGAAAGCAGCCCACGGCATTCACCCCTGCAACTCAGGACGAAGGACGTTGCAGTCGCAGGCGATGGATGCGCTCAGTCGTCGTGCTTCTGGTCCAAGACGCCAAGGTGTCTTGCAGAATCTGCTTGAAGAACTGCCAGGGCCCAAGGCCCAAGATCCTTCGGTTCAACACGACTCTTGACCTCAGCTGGACCTGGCTTTCCACGGCTTTCGGCCGGCTCTTGGATCACCGGGAGTCAATTGTGTCCCCACAGGGTGTCTTGCCATGCATCTTGCCACACTCAAACCCTTCACATGATTCGTGATCAAATCCAACGTCGGAATTGAGTCATAGATTCATTTCAAAGAAGACTCCTTAAATAATACATCTGGATGTCTACCCCAATGCCACTCTTTCAAAAGGAAACAAAAACACATCGTTTAACCTTTAAACCTAAACCGATTGGTTTCTGTACAGTTTCATCCTCCTGTACGAGTACACACCTCTTCATCCTCTTCTCTCTACCCATCTCCGAGTCTCCTCGACCTCGCTGCCGCACGCCGCAACGCACCCGCCGCTTCGCTCGTTGAAGCCCGGCCTCTAAGAAGCTCCGCAACGAGGGGTCGGCATCGGCACCCAAGAGCAAACCACACACCGCCAACAAGGCCTCGGCCGCGAGTGTGCGAAAGGCAGTGGGGGTGCGAGCTCGGCGCACAGATGCGGCTCTGTCGCGGCAGGAAGGTTCTATACCTAGGTCTTCCTCTAGGGGTCTTATTTGTTGAGTTTGGGATAGAACATGGTTTTCAATCGAAGCGGCGCTTTTGGAATGAAACTTAATTTTTTGACTTTGATGGTCTGTGTGCATGTTGGAGCCACTTACTTCCTGTGCCCATGCCTACACCGTCCGGAAGATCATCCCTTGGCTGTTGGTGCGCCCTTCAGTTCCATCTCACACATTTTTCCTCATCCCGGCTCTCTACAGGTACCAGCATGGCGGAGACACACTTCAGCCTATCGCCTGTGATCACTTTCTTGGAGGCACTGGGAGTTGGAGAGAAATTGGTACACTCTTTGACTTTAGGTGGGTTGCTTGGACTGGTGTGATCCGCATGAACTCCACTGGCTCTAGCCGAGCTCAAGTTAGAGCTTGCCACCTCACCGGCTCAACCTCAGCATGGCGCAGCTTTCGGTTGCTCTTGAGCGAGAAGAACATGTTAGGCATCTTGCCCGGAAGAACACGTTGCTCTTGGAGTGGCCTACTCTTGCAACTACAGGTGTTCCTTCATGCAAATCCTTGCTCAGCAACTTGAAGATTATGCTCATCGTTGCTGATTGGTGGTCATCATCAAATGATGAGCCACTGCTGATCCCGATATCTGTTTTGAGGGCCGAGGCTGGGAAAGCACAAATTCTGGATGGGGCATGCCCCCCCCCAATACAAATAGCTTATTTATCGGGTGGCTTGAAACTCACCTTTGCCCTTAGGTCAAAGACTTTTGGTCGCGAATGGGGATGGCAGTGGACCCACCCCGGGTAAGCGCCGATGCATGGGGAATCAAAAAGCTTTTCAGTCATGCAATGAGACGCTGGGGCTCTGGAGCCCTTGGCCCTAGAGACACTTGGACTAAGTCAACTTTTTCACCAAAAAGTTTACTGTTGGGGTTCTATCTTAGAAAGAAAAGAGCTGGCCACAC